CGTCACCGTTCGCATCCCCCCCCCCTCTCCACTTGGCGATCCTCTAACCAGCGCCCGATCCAAGATCAGTCGGCGCGCACGTGCGCGCGACCTCCCTAGCCCTCCTCCTATGCCCCTCCCCCCATCTACTTTCCCCCCGCGTGCACGTGCTCGTCGCGGGATTATTGGCTGGAGCGGCACATTTGTTCGAAGATAACGCAAGCCTCCTAAGATGAGTTCAATGAGAACAGAAATCTCGTTTGGAGCAAAAGGACAAGAGCTCATTTGATTTTGATTTCCAGTACGCATGCAAACTGTGAGAGTTTGGCTTATCAACCCTTTAGCGTTTCCGGACTTGAAGCCAGAGGTATCCAAAAAGTTACGGCAGGGATAACTGGCTTGCGGCCGCCAAACTTTTACAGCGACATTGCTTTTTGATCCTTCGATGTCGCCTCATCCCATTAAGGTGGAGCAGAATTCATCATGTGAGCTTCATCATCATCATCATCATCATCATCATCATCGCCGTCCCTGCCGACATTGCCAACATCAAGGCAACCACAGTTTTGGTTCTTCATCATCTGCCCACGCTTTGCCCTAGCGACCTCGTCGTTCCATCGGGGGAACGATCGAGAAGACCCTTTACGGGTTGATTGAAGACCTTCCTCGACTAGGAGGGAGGACCTTGATTGCTCCCGGTCGACCAGGAGCGCGGTATTGCCAATCTATCTCCAACTTACTAATTCCCTCCCTTCCTCCCACCGATCTCTCTCAAAGATGTCATATTTTTCCTCTCCTTTTACCTCCTCCCTATCTCCCCTTCTCTCCTTTAATCCCCTGCCTAATTGGTCGCATCATCATAAATTTCTAACGTGCATTTGCCTGACAATGCCATCCAACCTGTCGTTCGGAATTTCGATCTAATTTGGTAGGATTAATTATCATTTCCCTTTCTCCAAACACCGTGCGTTTTTGTTCAAAAGCTACGCAAATTTCTTTACTTTTTTTATTTATTTCGTTATTTAATTTCAAAATTCAATTTTCTTTCAGAAATTCGTGAAATAAATTTGGGAATTTACTACAAAGAATTCTTCCAATGTTGAATTTCCTGCTATTTTCTATCTCCCGTAAAATTTTAAAATTCTTCCATTGTTTTTGAAATCCTTTTGAAATTCCTTTGAAATTCTTTTGAAACTCTTCTGAAAATTCTTTGAAATTCATCTTAATCTTGTAACAAGTCAAGAAATTTTATTCATTTGATCTAAATAATCCTGGAATTTCTCTCAACTTACTTTACGTGGCTATCACAAATTCTTTATGAAATTTCATCGTAAATTCTTAATTTAGGAATTAGTTTTCTACTTTTATTTCAAATTGTTTTTGAAATTCGTTTAACCCTCGAAATACGTCAGGAACATAGGATTCGTGAAAACCCAAAAAAAAAAAATGTTGGGTTTGAACAAAATTTATTTAGTATTCCGAGAGTACGTTTTTTTGGCCTTCTACAAGAGCAAGATTTTTTGCAAAGCAAAAAAAAAAAATAATAATAAAAAAAATTGAGAACCACTGGAAGTGGCGAGGAAAAAAACAAATTTTTTTACACTAAATCATTACTAGGTGAAGCAATGCGAGGATTAGGGTCCTCGGTAGGCCTATGGGGCCCTGTTTGCAGCATTACCCGCCCTAAGTGAAGGCGGAGGCGCCCGCCCTAAGTGAAGGTGGGCCTGGCTTTTTGCAAAAGGCCCTCGACTGTCAATTTCATATTTGGGGTCCAGGCAGTTGCGAAGCGCGCCAGTTGGTTGAGAGAAACACAGGCCGAGCAACCCAGACATTTCCACGGCCCTCCGGGCTTTTCCAAAGAATGCACGCCCTGGGCGTGATTCGCAGCTTCATATAGAGACAGTTGGGCGCGCAACCGAACGAGCCCAGCAGCCCAGTAGCTGCTGCATCGAGGCAGCCTCCTGGGGCCTTCCGGAAGGTTCTAGGCCCAGGCTAGCCCAGCCAGGCTGCGAGAGCAGCCCAGCTCTTTCCGTAAAGGAAAGAGCTCTGGCCAGGCCGCGGACAGGCACTCGCATGCTAGCGGCAGCGCTGCAGGAGCAAAGGCTTGCGGTTGCTGGCTGGCGCTGAGAGGCGAGGTGCAACACATGCGGTCGTGCAGAGGAGGAGGGCGCTGCTGAGGGCAGCGCCATAGCCCAGCCACCATAGCTGGCGGGTTTGGACTACAGTGAAGCGCAGGGGTGGTCTTCGGGTGAAAGAGAGGACAGGTGTGGGGGAAGTCAGGGGATAGGTGAAGGATGATGATGATGATGATGATGATGATGATGATGTGAGGGCACTTACCTTGTATTGGCGATGATCTGCATGGGCGACATCTTCAAGTACTTCGGGCTGCCGCTAATGTCAACAGTTGCATTGTCTTTTTGTAGTCTGTAGTAGGTGTGTAGGAGTAGGCTGGGAGCTGAGCGCCAAGTGTGAGTGTGAAGGAACTGGACTCTTGTGTTGAGAGGAGAGAGTATGCTCTCCATGGACGTTGGTTTTCAGTGCTACGAACCTCCATTGGTGTATTATTAGTGCAATGCTGCTCTCTGAACACGGTGTAACTATTTGGCTTTCAATGTGATGGTGTGATATGGGATTGTCATCTCGCTGTTGCTTATTTTCCTTGCAATTTGGTATCGGAGCAAGAAGATGCCATCTCAGAAGTTGGCTAAGTCCACTTATGAGAGAGAGCTCTACGCCCTGTACCGAGCGCTAGTTCACTGGAGACACTACCTCCTAGGAAGATTCTTCTATGTGAGGTCTGACTATGAGACTTTGCGCTGGATTAAGACACAGCCTGTGTTGTCGGACTCACTCAAGAGATGGATTCAAGTGATAGACATGTATGACTATCAACTTGATCCTATCAAGTGTACGTACAACAAAGTGGCTGATGCGCTATCAAGAAGGGCTGATTATCTGGGCGCACTTGTCACTGAGTTTGACATATCTGACGAACTTACTCGATCGCTGGTGGAAGCCTATCAGGGAGATCCAGTTATATCAGAGATCATCCGTAGATTCCAAGCAAAGGACAAAAAAACTTTGGACGAATTTACGATGGTAACTGGCTTGCTGTTTCTTGAGAAGGCAGGGAATAAAAGAATGTGTGTCCCGTCTAATGAGTCTTTACGTAGTTTATTTTTAGGCGAGTGTCATGATGCAACTGGCCATTTTGGGTATAAAAAAACCTCAGCTAACCTTGTGCAGAGATTTTGGTGGCCCACTATGATGCAAGATACAAAGAGGTATGTTGAAACTTGTCAGGTCTGTCAAACAGACAAACCTAGGACTCAGGCTCCGCTTGGGCTCATCAAGCCCTTGCCGATTCCTGAAGGTCCTGGTCAAAGTGTGTCCATGGACTTCATGGATACTCTTGTGACCAGTAGGTCTGGAAAGAGACATATCTTCGTAATAGTGGACCGCTTTACCAAGTATGCAAGACTAATCGCTATGCCAGAAACTGCTAAGACTAACTCTGTCATCAAACTATTCATGGACAATTGGGTAAGGGACTTCGGTCTACCTACATCTATTGTTAGTGATAGGGATGTAAGGTTTACAAGTGAACTGTGGCAGTCTGTTGCTGAGCAGATGGGCACAAAGCTCCAAACGAAGTCAGGGAATCACCCTGAGTCAAATGGCCATGCAAAACAGATGAACCGGGTAGTGCAGCACCTGCTTAGGCATTATATTAAGCCAAGTGAGGATGACTGGGACGAGAAGTTACCTCTCGTCGCCAGCCTGTACAACAATGTTGTGCACAACACCACCGATATGACTCCCAACCAGTTACATCTTGGTTGGAAGCTTAGATTTGCGCTTGACTTCCTGTTACCAGAAAGACAACCCACTGCAGCACCTGGTAGCATAGAGTATGGTGTCAAGTATGAGCAGATGCTGCAGCAGGCCGTTGAACATATTCAGAAGTCTCAAGATGCTATGATTGCATCTGAGAACAAACATAGACGACCTTCCAACTTTCAGGTAGGTGAGAGAGTCTGGGTGAAATTATCTGAATTGGGACATGAGATAGGGATCTCAAGAAAACTGATGCCTCAATACTTTAGGCCCTGGGAGATCTTAGATATTGTAGGGGATCAACCGGATGGGCCTTCATACGTGATTCGCATCCCTGCACACTTACGGACCTATCCTGTTTTCCATGCCTCCAAGCTGGCACCTTTTGCTGCCACAGACCTATTTCTCTCTCGGAGATCGATGCTGCCCCCAACCATGGATGGCGAAGTGGACATTGACCAGATTGTCGAGCATCGAGTGATGCCTGTTCCTCGACCATCGGGCTATCATGTGAGCTTCAGACATCATTTGGATCCTAAAGAAGATCGGTGGATCACATGAGAAGAACTCATGAGAACAACACCTCAAGTGATCGCAGGCTATGAGAGAGCTCAAGGGAAAGATGCCTGCAGATTGAAAGACTTCTCAGAGGACTCACGAAGTAATGGAGGAGGGAATGCGAGGATCAGGGTCCTCGGTAGGCCTATGGGGCCCTATTTGCAGCATTACCCGCCCTAAGTGAAGGCGGAGGCACCCGCCCCAAGTGAAGGCGGGCCTGGCTTTTTGCAAAAGGCCCTCGACTGTCAATTTCATATTTGGGGTCCAGGCAGTTGCGACGCGCCAGTTGGTTGAGAGAAATGCAGGCCGAGCAACCCAGACATTTCCACGGCCCTCCGGGCTTTTCCAAAGAATGCAGGCCCTGGGCGTGATTCGCAGCCTCATACAGAGACAGTTGGGCGCCCAACCGAACGAGGCCCAGCAGCCCAGTAGTAGCTGCATCCAGGCAGCCTCCTGGGGCCTTCCGAAAGCTTATGGGCTCAGGCCAGCCCAGCCAGGCTGCGAGAGCAGCCCAACTCTTTCCATAAAGGAAAGAGTTCTAGCCAGGCCGCGGATTCAGGCACTCGCATGCTAGAGGCAGCGCTGCTGGAGCAAAGGCTCGCGGGTGCTGGCTGGCGCTGAGAGGCGAGGTGCAGCACGTGCAGTCGTGCAGAGGAGGAGGGCGCTGCTAAGGGCAGCGCCATAGCCCAGCCACCATAGCTGGTGTGCTTGGACTAAAGTGAAGCGCAGGGGTGGTCTTCGGGTGAAAGAGAGGACAGGTGTGGGTGAAGTCAGGGGATAGGTGAAGGATGATGATGATGATGATGATGAAAGGGCACTTACCTTGTATTGGCGATGATCTGCATGGACGACATCTTCAAGTGCTTCGGGTTGCCACTGATGTCAGCAGTTGCATTGTCTTTTTGTAGTCTGTAGTAGTTGTGTAGAAGTAGGCCGGGCGTTGAGCGCCAAGTGTGAGTGTGAAGGAATAGGACTCTTGTGTTGAGAGGAGAGAGTATGCTCTCTATGGACATTGGTTTTCAGTGCTATGAACCTCCATTGGTGTATTATTGCTGCAATGTTGCTATCTAGATGCGGTGTAACTATTTGGCTTTCAATGTGATGGTGTGATCTGGGATTGTCATCTCGCTATTGCTTATTTTCCTTGCAGAGCATCGTATATTTATAAATTGAAATATCCGTGTTTTTTATTATCTTAAAAGATCATGTGTAGAGTCCTATAAGTTGTGTATCACGACGAGCATGTTCGAGGGTTTGGCGAACGTGCGAACATGTTATCTTGTCTATTAATACGTTCGCCATAACATGCCAGAATTCACTAAAACTGCTTTTTTACAACTTTCGAGTTTGTTTTATTGGAGCTCTACGTTTTTGAAGGTCTATTGAGAATGCCTTATAGTCCTATAACAAATTTTTTGAAAGAAAGTGTTTTCATCCACATGTCAAGGATCGCTCAACTGTTTGCCTGATTTTTTGCCTTGTCTCTCGGAAAGTGGTCGAAAATGTGTGTTTTTTTTTTATCAGAAATAGAAGTTTGACTTCTACTTTTGCACTTTATACAAAGTGTTGGGTTTTGTGGTTTTGTTGGGTTTTCACGAATCTTGTGTTGAGGGAGTTTCTTTTCATTTCAATTCAAAATTTTCCTCCCAACTCATCTCTAACTCTCCTATCATCTCTTTAACTTTCGAAAAATTTTACGATTATTTTTTAAATCCATTGAATCTTTGCTTAAACTTTCTTAAAATTCTAAATTTACGTCCAAAAAATTTTAAAATTTTATTTTGACTTCATGATTGTCCTATGCATGCCTTCCTCTACACCCCACGCCGGTCTTCAAAAATTTCCCCTCATCTTCTCGCTTGAATTTGAAAAATTCCTCCCTCCTTCTCCCCTCAATCCGATTTTGAATTTTATTGATTTTAATTTAATTCCGAAAGTTCGTTAGACCTCATTTCTACACGCCTTCCGTTCTTGACCCCTTTTCTGCGTGCAAATCTGGCTCCCCGGAACAACCACCGGTGCGTACTCCAAAACCGCGCCCGAAACGTCCGTGTCGCACACCAACTCCCTCGCTTTGACGCGCCGACTGCTGCCATTGAACACCCCTGCGATCCCCGTTCCCCCGTTTCAGAGTCTTCATCCCCTGACTTAATGCAAAGTGTTGAGTTAGCGAGTCCCTCCCGCTCCATCGGCGAAGGCCTTGCATTCCTAGCTCGTGACACCATGTTTGACTCGGCGGAGATTTCCACCCCTGCAGTCGCCAGTTCGGGCCCCATCACCCAGTCAGACCCTGTACTCGCCATCCTCCAGGACATGAAGGCCACATTCGAGGCCAAATTCACGGTCATCCAAACCAATTTCGATACTTTGTCGGACCGGATGTCACAGATGGAGTCGCGTGCCACCAGACACCCTTCCTCTCTTCCCCCCCCCCCGTCCTCTCCCCACACACATCCTCCTAGTGGATCACACCTCCCATCTCACCAACTTGGTATCCCGCAGTCCTCCCCCCCTCCCGCGTCATCAGCGTCTCTGCTAGCCTCCTCTCCTTCTTCGGCTAGCATCGTCTACACGCTTGTCTTTTCCACGGGTGGTATGCCTTCTCCACAGACCCACCCTTCTTTTGCAGCCATCCCTTCCTCCCAAGTGTCCACCTCCACAATTTCCTCCTCATGACCCATGGCATCGTGTCCCGCCACCTCCTCAATTTTAGTTTCCACGGCACCTACGTCACCACCCCCAACTTCTTTACCTCCCCCCCCACCCCCTATGACACCCACGATAMAAAATGYTGAGCTRCAAAACCAACTTGCCATGGCCCACGACCACATCCGCCGRCTCCAAGGAGGTCAACCCTTGCCTCCYCACCTCGCGGCACAGCCTGCTGCCCCTTTCATCTACCGACAGCATCAGACACAGGCTGCTGCGATGCACTTTACTCTTCCTCCACCGGCCACCACGATGTCTCACGGCCCTTTGCCTCAACTTCCTGCCTTGTCTAGTGCTCCTGCGGGTGCCCCTAGTTCCTCTGYCCTCTTGTCGTAGTGTGCCCTTCCCCTCCCTCCTCATTATCAGCCGCCACCCTACGTACCTCGGTACCACCCTGACAGACTCCCCCTGTTCGATGGCAAGGCCTCCGAACTCCAAGGCTGGATCACCACATCCGAGGAGCAACTTCGGTACCATGGTGTAAACATGGACTTGTGGCCTAAGAGATGTCAGCCCGCTTCACAGCTCGAGCGGCTTCCACTTGGCGCGACTTTCTCGCCCTTCGTGCTCAGCAGGGCGTCCACGCGAGTATGACGTACGCGGAGTTTCGTGATTTTTTCCAGCAGTACTTCTCTCGCCCGACGCCTATCCGTGACCCGATCTCAAGGGTCGCTGAGATCAGATGGCTTGGTGGCAACAATGCCTTAGAGTCGTACATCACGGAATTCCACCTCGTTCGCGCCCAGATTCCCCCCTCCCTCATAGCCGACGACGCTATGGTCTAGCGTTTCCATGTCGGGTTACCCCAACCCTTCCAGCTTCAGATGATGGCATACACAGTCCACACCCTCCCTGAGGCCTTCAACATTGCCAGGGCCATCCGACTCACCTATGCACCTCTTGTCGGCTCCACTTCTCTGCCTGGTGCTGCATCTCCCGCTGCCACGTATGCCCCTGACACATCTCGCCCCCGACAGTTCTCCACGTCTCGCCGCGGCCCCCGCCGAGTTCCTGGATGCACCTTCTTCCGTTGTGTCTGGACCATGCTCTGCGAGTCGTCGAGCCCTGAGGAGGGTACTAGTTCGGATGGATCCCATAGTGACCCGGACCAGGGACATGACCCCCTGTCTTCTATGGATGGTGACGATCCCGACCAGGACGAGCACCTTGCCCGCGCCTTCTCTACTTTCCTCAGGCAGCGCTAGTCTTCCTCATCGAGGACCCGCTCGTCGGCCACACAACAGCCCCCCCATCGGGCTACGTCTTCCCCCGGGCCTGATTGACTATCGCGGAGAGTGAGGACTTCCGTACACGAGGTATATGTACCCGTTGCCGCCTACCCAGTCACACTCCGTCCACCTGCCCCTACGCTGACGCCATCCAGCGTCACTTTGCTCAACAGTCCCGCCCTCAGCCTGACCCCCCCATTTCGACCTCCAGCGCCGCAGCCACCTAGCGGCGATCTCCCATCCCCCTGATCCTCCTACACTAGCAGGCATACCCTCTCGCGAGTCTACCTTCGCGCCGCTTGCTACTCTTTCTGAGGACTCGGGCTTGACCTCATTGTTGGTCAATCCGAGCGACACCGGTGCACCCTCCCCTTCTTCGTCTAGCGTCTCTCGCGATCCTTCTCCTCCTCGTCCTCCTACTAGGCGTGCTCTACGCACGGCCCACTTCAGTGCTTCCTTGTAAGTCTCCACAGCAAGTCTATTCCCTCGGGGGGCGCAGCGCGACCAGGGGCATTGCGCCCCCGCTGGAGCAACTTCGGAGGCGAAGCAGCGACGCGAGACCTACCGGAGAGCTAGGCGACACTGTCGGCGAAGACGCAAGGCGACGCGGTGGGCAAAGACGCAAGGCGACGCGATGGGCGACGACGCAAGGAAGCGAGGCGGACAAGGGTAAGTATGGGAGAGCTTGCGATGAGGTGGACGGTGGGATATGGTGACGCGAGGTAGGAGATGGGTTTGATGGGTAGTGACGGAAAACAACCACGGGTGGTAAGGTAGGGGGGAGGGTGGGGCAGATGGGCAAAAGGGTGAGGAGGCGTCGTACTAGGTTAGGACGTGTCGTCTTCGTCTTTTGAAAAACCCTTCCCTCTTCCTCAACAATATGGTATGGGTACAACTATGGTGGATTGAACCCCGTGTGCGACTCGTCAAGAGGTTTGGCGAAGGGGTATCACACCGTCTTCGATTTCCTTTGGGTGATCGAAGATGGTCGTTCGTGTCTTTGGTGCTAGCTTTGCTTTGAGCCTAGATGCTTGCAATGGGAGGAAGGGAGTTTCTCCCCCAAAGACGTAGGGGTAGGGTTTGAGGGGTCTGAGGTAAGTAGCTTGGTTGAGGAAGAAGGGATGAGAAGCTGCTTCTTATTGGATTAGGATTCAGCCCATGCGTGGCTTAGCTATCTTTAATTTGAACTCTACTGCAAATCTTCTGATAACTTTTCGTTGATGATTTCAATTCATGATTCATGATTTTCTTGATAAAAGGATTCCAATGATGTGACATATCAAAATTTCAATTGAGAGTTTCACGTCTGGTTGTATGTTTTTTCCCTTGATTTCTTTTGAGTTATGGTCGCTTTCCTGATTTTTTGACAGAGGTTGGTTTTTGAATAATTTCGTTTTAAGAATTGTGATTAGTTTAACATCTGATTCATGACATCTTAGGTGTTTTTTGAATGAAATTGATCCCTAATCCGAAATTCGTATTTTCTATTCTGAGCAAGATCTTAAATTGAAATTCGTATTTTCTTTGGATGAAATTGATTCTTAATCCGAAATTCGTTTTTTCTATTCTGAGCAAGATCTTTAATCTAAAATTCGTATTTTCTGAGCAAGATTCGTAATCTTAAATTCGTATTTTCTGAACAAGATTCATAATCTCAAATTCGTATATCAGAGTTCTTCTCTGATTCGAATGAATGATTACTCAATTTTGATTTACAAAGGTTTACAATCTGATTTTTTCAAAGTGGAATTGATGTCCTGTGTTTACCCATATTTGATCTAATTCAAAATCTGATGTAGGCTCTTAGAAGTTGTGGTTCAACTTTGCTAGGAGATGGTCTTGCAAACGAAAGGGGGAAGATCGAATTAGAGGCAGGCTGGAAGTAGAGGGGTTCACTAAGAGGAGGGATCGGTCGTTCAGGGCGGTAAGTTTATCATCACAAGGGTGGGGTGGGACGTCATTGGCCGATGCTGGAGCATTCACTCTGTGACCAGGGGGAGCTTGAGACCATTGAAGTTATGTTGAGGGTGGAAGGCATAACCATCTCGCCCGACGTAGTTGTTGCTAGGGCGATGACCCTGTAACCTTTTAAGGGGCTTTACCGTTAAAGGGAGTTATCGAGGGGGGAATGACATTGTTTGTCCGTCAGAAGCAATTAGGTCGGTGCTGGAGCAGTTTGTATTGCCTTAGCAGGGGGGGTATGAGGTCTGATGATTTATGGTAACGAGGATTGAAAGCGTGGGTTGCGTATCCTTCATCTATGGTGAGGGAAGAAGATGGATTGTTAGTGGTTCTTGTTTTTGTCCTTCTTCCTTTTTGTTTTCTTAAATGGGAAGGTGAAAGTCGTAAGTATGGTTTGAAGGAATTTTGGGTGGGCTTGGGCAATAGAGAAAGGGTTGCTCAGGGTTGTAAGTCTACTACAAGGGCGGGGTGGGGCAACTTTGGCCAGTCCTGGAGCGGTGGCTCTGTGACCAAGAGGAGATTGAGGTCATTGAACGACCATTTCGTCAAAATGGACATTTTTATTTTTTGAACAAAATTGAAATCGAGTTTTTTGGTGGAAAACTCGTCAAAATTTATTGTTCCTGAGGGTCTAGCGTTTTACAAATGCTGGACCTCCTGACTGTACATGGACCTAGCTTGAGACCAGGGACCTCCAGGCAGGACTGCCAGGAGGTACCTGGTCTCAAGCTAGGTCCATGTACAGCCAGGGGTTCCAACGTTTTACAAACGCCGGACCCTCAGGAACAACAAATTTTGACGAGTTTTCGGCCAAAAAACTCGGTTTCAATTTCGTTCAAAAAATAAAAGATGTCCATTTTGACGAAATGGCAGTTATTGGAGTTATGCCGAGGGTGGAAGGCATAACCACCTCTTTCAGCGTAGCTGATGTCAGAGCAGTGACTCTGTAACCCGCTAGGGGGTTTGCAGCTAACAAAGTAGTCGAGGGAGGAAGACACCTCCTGTCCATAAGAAAACAGTTAGTTCGGTGTTGGGGCAGTTTGTGTTGTCTTGTAACCCTAGCTAGGGGGGTGTGAGAACTGGCGATTTGTGGTACGAGGACTGAAAGCCTAAGCTGCGGTTTCTTGTCTGCAGCGAGGGTCTAAGTTCGATTGTTGGCGACTCTATTCCTGACTTTCGTCTTTCTGTTTTTCATAGTTTTTTTTTTTTTTTTTTGAATATGCTCTTGAAAAAACGTTGGCTGTTTCGTGGCCTTAAGAATGTTTTACGACTCAAGGAATTGCTAGCAACTCGTCTTAGGTGGCTTCGATGTTGTAATACTCAGTGATCTGCGGCTGTTCAATTCCAGAACGACGCTGGCCGGTGTTGGGGTGTTGCCCTGTAACCTGCTGATGCAGGAGTGTAATGCCTTGTAGAGAGATCTGGGGATGCTTTGGGGTGGGCATTCCACGGGACAACCAAGCTGCTCAGAGCTGGGGTGAGTTGTGTTGCCTTGTAACCCAGCAGGATGTGGGGGTGTGAGGCCTGGAAAAGCAGGGAGTAAGACAATGTTGGAGAACTTTGGAATGTTTTGCTAGGGATTTTGAGGGTTTTGTAGCATTTGCAGGACCTCTGCAGTCTACTTCCATACTTCCTGAATTACTGTTAGTGTTCTCAGACGATTTCTCAGCTGAAGCCAAGTAATGGCCCCGGTATCCCAAACAAGAGATCGCGGCGAGTGAGAGAAGGATATCACGCGTCCTACTAGTGAGTGGGCTAGCTGGTAGGATGGGAATAGGGAATAGCAGCAGCGGAGATGGTGGCTCTGCTACAGTAAGCCTTGCCGGAGTGGGGTACAGGGGATTGATTGGTGGTGTCTAAGTCTTTG